TAGAGGAGGGAGGTTGTTACTGGAAAATATTTTGACATGATTCATTCATGATTTATTTTCCCCATAAAAGGAATTCCCCTTTCTAGTGAGTCATTGGCCTATCAAACCTTCGAACTGGTATTCAACTGTAAATGCGTATAAACAAAATTAAGAAATGCTGAAAGTGAAATTAAATAGTTTGTTCGACTACATGTACCTCTCCAATAAGGGGAGGGGGCTATATTTATGCTCTGTAAATCAATGGACTAGGGAATATACCATATTGATCGGTTGACATATTAATTCACCGGCTCGTGAGTCATAGGAACAACCTGAGATCAATACGAACAGGTTCATTTTTGTGAAGTTTTCTTAAATTAATTCACAAACAGGAATATTTAAGGAATCACTGTCTAGTTAGGAGGGTATGTCAGGGCATCAACAATAGTGGGAAACATGGGATAATTTGCATAACGGGCGAAGCCCGTTATGCTTAAATTATCCCATGTTTCCCACTATTGTTTATGCTTAAATTATCCCATGTTTCCCACTATTGTTGATGTCCCTGACATACCCTCCTAACTAGACAGTGATTCCTTATATTTCCATTTCATTGCGAAATAAAATTGTAGATTTAGACTTTAAAAATGTAGAGACAAATTTAAATTACATGAGGACTCCCAAGTCGATTTCAATAGTCCTCGCCCACTGACGTCAGACACAAAAGAAGCCGCACGAAATTTACATGCATATTTGGCCTCCTTAGCGTCAAGAACAGAGACTGATGCGCACGAGATTTGCATGCGTATTAGGCCTTCTTAGCTCCTGACCTATCGACCTGCCTAATTTACATGCCGGTAGAATTATCAAGAAATCAACTCCGCTAACTTTCAAAGGGTTATCACAGAGAAAAAAAATAGAAATGGAAATATTTAATTAAAAACTCAATGAGGACCTTTTTTCATTTTATACACCGCATATGTACCAGATTGATTGATTGAATGTTTTACGTCTAATCGGCAATATTTCAGAAACATATTTGTCTGAACAAATAACTTATTTGTCCGAACAAATTTCTAATTTGTCCGAACGAATATCTAATTCGTCCAAACAAATAACTAATTCGTCCGAACAAATTTCTAATTTGTCTGAATGAATATCTAATTCGTCCGAACAAATAACTAATTCGTCCGAACGAATTTCTAATTTGTCCGAACGAATATCTAATTCGTCCGAACAAATAACTAATTCGTCCGAACAAATTTCTAATTTGTCCGAACGAATATCTAATTTGTCCGAACAAATAACTTATTTGTCCAAACAAAATTCTAATTCGTCCGAACAAATTTCTAATTTGTCCGAACGAATAACTAATTTGTCCGAACAAATTTCTAATTTGTCCGAACAAATATCTAATTTGTTCGAACAAATAACTTATTTGTCTGAACAAATTTCTAATTCGTCCGAACAAATAACTAATTCGTGCGAACGAATTTCTAATTTGTCCGAACGAATATCTAATTCGTCCAAACAAATAACTAATTCGTCCGAACGAATTTCTAATTTGTCCGAACAAATAAAAATATTTTTTTTACCTGGCCCTCCAGCGGCGCCGTAGTTATCCACGTTTGTTTTATACTCAAACAGATATTTGAACATAAATCTATGGCTTAAAACCCTCAAAACAAAATTTACCATAAGATGTACTTGATAAAAACGTCGAAGGTCTGACAAGAGCAAAGGTTTACAAGAGCACAAAGACAGATTTCTATGCAATGTTCTGAAATATAAGTGGTATTGTTGTGGTATGTCTCTGGAAGGGGGGAATGTGATGGGTCAGCCCATCAGGTGTAAGTAAGCAAGTATTTCAGGTGTAAAGACGAATAATAATTTAACCCCCATCGAATAATGACCGGGGGTCATGTTTTAACGACAAAAATGACTCCCAGTCCTAGAATTTTTTTGTAGAAAAAGAGCTCCAGGGGTCATTTTTTTATATGTGAGTCCTATAAATAAAACTGACGTCGTTGAAAAATGACCCCTTTTAGAATGAAACAAAATTTACAAGGTTAAATTGATGCAAAGCATCAAATTTATCAATTTAGCATTATAAAGAATTTTAAAGGATAGGATTTTTTTTAAAAGTGTACCATCAATGGCACATAATTTTATTTAATTCTAAGTTTGTTCAACGGCAACGTTATGATTCAGCTTGGACTCCTGGCTTGCGAGGATGAAGTTATGGTAGTATCATCATAGAATTACCGGTATTGAATCAAATACAAGTGCCTCAAGTATCAAAAATGCCTAATTCAGAATGTCTGACTGCTGACACATAAGGACATCCAAAATGCTGATATCGTGGATCTTTGTCATTTTATAACATAATGCCGATGTTCTATCAAAATAGAATTGAAAAAATCGTTGTGCCATTTGCAACTGTAATAATTAATATTTTCAAAACAATATTTACTGAAGGCTTTTTATATATAAAAAACAGGAATTTATTATTTGATTTAAATACTTTTATTCATATTCGGAAACCAAAAACGTTATAGTTTCATTTTTAATAACATGCACATCTTGGGGAGCGGGTCATGCAAACAACTTTTTATAAACTCATGAATTAAGGAATATCTTATGAGAAATAAAAACAAAACAAAATTAAAACCTAATAACCATTAAGACAAAGTATACAGCGAATTTTTTAAACTTTTATTTGTTACTTTTTTGTTTGTTATCAATAAATAATTATTTCGTCGAAGCAATGAAAAACTATAATGATACCCCCTGCCTCCCATATGATTATAATGGCAAATTCCATTATTTGCTCTGGGGAACACAAAACAAGCGTTAGATCAAAAAGTTAAACAGGAAGTCACAATGGCAGTATGTAATAAAGAATCTATGAAAGTATCGTTAAATTTTATTCAGTTGTACATGTATATATTCCAATTTCAAATCAGATTTACTGAGTATTTACTAGTATTAAATGTAATCCAACTTTTGCTATGCCAGATCAGGAGGCAGACCTCAAAATATTTATAATTTTCATACATGCACAGGCAATCTCTGTTGTACAAAATACGCTATGCGTAATTTTTGTGTATATATTTTTCATATATTTTGTTAAAAGTGACATATAGGTCCGATGGGCCGGGTGTTTGGATATTAATTGAATTAAATGTTTTTCATTGTACTGTATAACCTTGTCACTATAAAAAACAATTTACTTACTTACTTACTATAGGAGGAGTTGCAGATAAGAGATGGGTACTCTTCAATATTATAGAATGGCAGTGTTCATGTTATGCAATAGGAAATCCAAAATACTAGTATGTGTCCGATCAAACAACAAGAGATGCAAAATGGCAACATGTAACAAAGATTCTGTGAAAGTTTCATTAAATTTCGTTCAGAGGTATAACAGGAGTTGTTAATAAGAGATGGGAACCCCAAAGCGTAACAGACGGACGTACATCCTGATAACTGCATAATCTCCCGCTTTTCAAGTGGGATTTATAATAATACATATAATATTGCTGCTTTTTTTCTGTCAGTACGATGATTTTATCGAAAAACAATGTTCACTTAGCCATTTAGGCTCGATAAATCTTTTACTACTTTAGATTCTGAATCATCCCATTGACCTAAGTGCAGATTATATTAATGGGGTTATAAAAAAATACATTCAATAGAATCTGTCATTTTATAAATATCAAATAATATTAATATACGTATAATTATGTATACTTATATAATTTCCAGTCTGTTTCACCTGTATTTTACATGCATTTAAAAACTTGATATTCATGATTGCAATTGCCAGGTCACATTACGAGAATAACTAAATATTTAGTTTTGAAGTATATATGCAAATTACAAATATCTAAATTAAAAAGTAGATTCCTTCTCATCACAGTGCTTAAAAATTAAATAAATTAACATCTCATCTCTGCCACCTTTTCCTTCCGCAAACAATATGATATATTACAGTATTTCAATTTTGCATCAACACTAGTTTCTGAAATTACTGGGAAAAAATTATCTTGAAATTCGAATTCTTCAGGATAAAATAAATTCACAAACTTTTACTTTTAAAAGTGTGATTCTTAAAAACCCTAAAGAACTTTTAGAAACTTTAAAATAACCTCTTTTTTCAAAAGTCTATAACATAAAAACTTCCGACCTTTCTATACATTATACAACGATTTCTCTCGATAAATAAAAATGTACACTAATTTTCAAAAGTCTATAGCATCAAAACTTACAACTTTCTATACGTTATGCAACAATTCCTAGCGATAAAAATATGTGAATTTTCACAAAACAATATTTATTTTGGGAAAACAAAGAGAGATTACTTTATTATTTCGGTTAAAATTGATTTTTTTTTACCAAAGAAAGTATGAAAAATTTCAGTCAGCATTTGACTCAATGATAAATTGTATTTGCTGACGAGGTCTCTGTATCGACCATCGAACTTACGAAATGATGAGTACATGTAATATTCCACAATCACCTGCTTATGGTGTTTATGTCTCTCGACTTATTTGCTACTCGAGAGCTTGCTTCGAGTATGATCATTTTTAAGGCGAGACTTGCTTTTCAACGATTAGTTGATATTACTGGGATTTCAACAACCCCCTTTACTGTCATGGTCGTTTTAATGACCTTGTTCGCAAATATGACCTTATCATTGGCTCGCGTCTTGGCTTATTTTTTCATACTAAATTTTGATCCTTTTTTTATACTACATTTGACTACTCATTGCATAGAGGATGCTTACTCCTCGTAAGCAACTGATCCCACATCTGAAATTTACAGTGGCTCGTTTTTTTGTGCCCTCTAAACATATAAGCGTTGTTTATATATATATATTTAGATTGATTACTGTTCGCTATCTTCAATTTCTACATCAACGAGTTAACATATCACTGAGAATGAAAGAGTGGGAGGGAGAGAGAGAGAATACAGAAGAGGGTTTTAAATTATGATTATGCGATTGTTGCAATAGTTACCGTCCATCCACCTCCGTCCGTCGTCATGTCACAGTACACTGACTTCTTTGTCTTCGTGTCGGGATAAATCTTGTACACACCGTCTTGACTCTGAGATCTGAGCTTGAGAATGCTAGCACAGCCCCTGTGCTTCTTTTTCATTCCCGCAAAGTGACGATAAACAATTCAATAAGATAAAGTCATTTCGACATAGTTGTCTTGTTATTAAATATTTTTAATACTGCAGTTTAGAGTAAATGTATGATTGTAAATAGCCAAAAAAATGAATAACTCAGTGTTAATGTTAAAATAAAACACTTGAATGAATAATAAAAAATATGTATCATCACTGTATTGAATTGTAAATTCAAATATGAAAAGAAATGTTACAAGGAAAAAAGAACTATATGCGGTATATTGCATATCTTTGCCCCCACAAAAGTCAAATTTTGAAAAATTCTTGAAATGTGCTGAATTTTATAAATTGTATGAGAAATATAAATTAACAGATCATATTATAGTTTCAAAGTAGTTTATTGACAATTTTTTTGTTTTTATGACGTCACAAACTACTTCGATTTTATGTCATTTTTTAAAAAGAGGACAAAATGGAAAAAATTTCAACAATTGTAGCTTTAAAATTTATGGAGCGCAAGTTTGCTCAGGAACAATATTTAAATATTTCATTGATATTATCATTCTACATATAATATCAAAATATTGAGCCTGATCAGATCTGCGCTTGGTGACTCTTACTCAAAATATTGACGTAAAATATACATTTTTCTGTATAAATCATGGAAATTTTAAATTTACGCCATTTTCGTGACGTTATTTCAAATATATGACGTCATTGCTAATGAAAGTATTCAGTGTTTTGAAGTCAGCATATATTCCCCTGTTTAAGAACGTAATTGAATATTTCTCCGTCAAAGTTTGATTTTGGGGGCAAATATTGGTTATTGCCGAATAAAGTTCTTATCTTATTTTTCCAACATTTTTGTACCGATGATTAACATTTCTTTTAATTTTGGTTGATCGGCATACAAATGCGTATTATTGCCATATACTCAAACACATGCAATATTTTCGACTGAATACTAGTAATTAAGAAGTCTCTTTTAACTCAAAGTTTATTAACAATATGGATTCGTTGGAGAATCAATTATAAAAAGACAAGAAATGTAGGTTAGAGGATAATTTAACCGGCAAATTAAATGAAATATTTTTTAACAAAAGTCCACTTGTAAGTTTTATCTTTCCTGATCCTTCTCTGAACTTTAAGAGCCATAAAATATATACCGGTAGTTAACAGTATAACTTGCCTGATTTATAACTTGATCTAAGAAACACTTGTCCTTCTTTCAGTTTATAACTTGAGTGTATATCTAGGGTCATGGGGCCGTGTATAGAGATTGTTGTGTTCTTGTGATTCCATTTAGAATTTCTCAGCATGGACTTCATTTCATCTGCACCAGAAAGGAAAAATAAATTGTTTGCGTTTATCATGTTTATAAAAAGAAAAAAAAAGTAAAGCAAAAATAAAAACAATCACCTCTGAATTTTACACATTATCACAAATTAAGTTTTTTTTTTTTTTTTTTTTTTTTTTGTACAAAATGAAATTTATAATAAGCTTATTATTGATATAAAATAATGAGAATTGTGTACGTTTTGTCTCATTTAAAATATGTTGCATTATATCTAAGAAAATATTATGTTATAAGCAGTGTACCTGTTTCCTAAATGCAATGACTTATTTTTCCTGAATAAAACTTGCATTTCTCATGAGGTAGATAAGAATTCTTTTTAAAATATGACAATAATCTTAAAAAAAAAAACTACACAAAAAAGTTCCATCTATAAAGAAATTCCATAAAAATGATACGAAATTCATAATAAACCTGTTAAATGAAGCATTATCCCCGTGGAATAAGCCCTGGAAAATACAGCAGCTAAAACCACTAACTTCAACATTGTTTCCATTATGGTTCTTCAAAACAATACAGTTGTCAATGAAATTATAAAGGACATATATAATAATATAATATATTTATATATGTACTTTTTGCATGAGATAGTGACAAATAACAGGTTAAAATGAAATACTATAAAGTTGTACGTGATATCATACCAGAATAAAGACACACAAAAGTACCATTTACTAGTATTAGAAATAACCTCACTATTTGTATTTAACAGGTCCTCTTTAAGAAGTACTAGGAATCGATTCAAAAAATTAATCATGACATTAAAAAAAATGGCCAAAGTTTACTTTTAAATTTTTTTTAGAAAAATACTTTTTACGCTTACGCGGAATTCTGAAGAAGTAAAATCACTTCATTGGTAAATTTGTGTTTACGGAAGCAAATACAAGGGAAATTACTCTAAAATATGTTTGACGGTGAAAGAAATCAATATCTTTAAATAATTGTTTTTGCGAGTAAAGGTACTTTTAATGATGCAACCCCCGCCCCCCCCCCCCCCCCAAGTCGCATCTGGTAGAGCAAGCAAGAAAACTTTATACATGTATATTGAACTTAGAAAGAATAAAATCATATATTGATATACAACAGCAACTTTTTGACACCATAAGTATGGTTCGTGCTCCTTTTTTGTTGTTGTTGTATGGTGTAGAAGAACGAGGTTCTGAAAACTGCAGCATATTTAGCATATTTAGAATCTTTTTATGTTGATTTTTATATTTTAAAAAAATGAAAGTTAGAAAGTCTAACCCCCCCCCCCCCCCCCTTGTATTGGTTATGGAGAGCTGTGTAGAATGCCATTTACCATTCTAGTAAATAAATATAAAAAATGGCTGGTTTCTGAAATAAGAATTTTTGTGGTAAATATGAGAAAATTTCCTTCACATTGTGCTCATTTTGATTTTTTGACTAGTTCAAAAGCTTTTTACAATTCAAATGGCCGGTTGCGTATCTCAGATGTAAACTTGCGATCAATGATTCCGGGTTTAAATCCAAGTTTTCGCGTTGCACGCATGTTAGGATGGGCTGAGTACGGCTCAGAATTGCGGTAAATTCTGAACCTGGTGTAGGGGTGGTTTAAACCCAGCTTTATAACGTTTCCATGGATTTTTGGGTAGAATATTTCGATATTTTGAAATATTTTAACGTTGCAGAAATGTTTTATGGTTATGATGATTGCATTGATAGATTTTGCAGAATTAAAATAAGCTATTCTTCAAGAATTTTTTACGGCCATATAGCAGGGGGATTTTTCTTTCTGCACAACTCTTCAACAACTGTCAATGTGCCGTTTTAACACTGATGTAGCTATAGTATAAAGTCTTGAAAGATACTTTTATAATACATAAATGTACATAAACAGGAATTTTATAGAAACTTTCTAAAGTACCAAATTTAAATCAAATTACGAATTTTACACTTTCGAACAGCTGATGATACACATTCCAATAATTTCTAATTATGCCGAATTTCCTAAGGATAAGAAGTCTTTCAGTTATCTGATTAATCAGGCTATCTATATGGCCGTAGGAACCGGGGGAGGAAGGGAGGGCATGTTCGTCACCTATAATTTTGCCACTGTATAAAATTCTCTAGAAAACATAGCTAGGCCTAATATGTGTTTTCTCAAAGATAATGTCTTATAATTTTTTTTTTCATTTGATTTTAAACTAAAAATCTAAATTTATACATTGTTCCTCTACATTTACCTATATTTTGTGTTTTGATATTGTTTCTTAATTACTTATTTCAAAGACCCCATCCCTGTTTTCTTCTCACCAGTCTTTTGCAAAAGCTTTATTCTGTTTGCGATTTTATATTTTCTTATGGTTTGACGAAAGATGCCGTCATTTGAATTAAATTGTAAATGAAATTTTTTCGTCATTTTTTATTTACAATTTAACATCAATAAACACTGTATATCTTTGTTTTTAAATATCCTTTTATTTTTCAACCAGTTACTAGTATTAAAACTTGTTTTGAAGTGGTGTAATATTAGGAAACCTATTATCCTTCGACATTTTATATGAGCAAGTCAAGATTATGTAAACCTTACTCAGTTTTATAGCGTGCAACAGAAATACGACTCAGGTAATCCAGACTCAGATGGGCTTTAAACCCGGCTTACGTGATCCAAGGATCAAACACTGAGCTGTACTTATCTGAGCCATAGATACGCAACCGGCCAAAAATGGCTCATAGAAATTTAAAATATTTTATATGAATGTAAGCTTCATCATCATATAGAATTTAAAATCATATTCATCGAAGTATGATGAAGTTGACACTGTCTGTCCTCCTGTTAACTCTGCTCGTCCATATAACTATTGTAAATATATATGTACCTCTTGAATCATTCATATGATTTGGAAGAGAATACTAGTAAATGAATAAAGAAAAATTTCCTCTTAACTTAATCATTAGTATTCGTGACTGCGTAATCCCGATATCAGATTACCGTCTGTTTTAATTTTTTATATTTGAACCATTTTAAATTTTCTGTAAAATTGTATAAAACAGCATATTGATATACTCCCTGTATTCATATATAACACTAATCAAAAGCCCTCTTTTAAGTAAGCCTAATGAATTTGGAAATGTAAAACGCACATTCCTCCCATTAAATAATAAACTTTATACAGTTAAACAAGTATGTGCTTATTTTTGCAAAAGATACATGTATGTTTTTTACTTAAAAAATAGAAGTAACAGAAACTATTAATAAAAACCATTTCATAAATTCTATTCATACATAACAAAAACAGATTAAAATATAAATATGTGTATATTCAAGACATAAATTGAACATAAATAGATACCTGTGTATATTGCATGAAATCTAAATGAATTTACAATGTAATTATATTTTCAAAGCTTACTAGCTATCATTTCGTTTTCAAATTTAAAAAGTCATAACTGTGATGAGAATTTTTCTTTCATTCTTTCTTCTTTTAAATCAGTTTTCTGTTCTTTGTTTTTCTCCTGTAGATCAGAGAACTTCCGTCGAGGAGGGGTTTTCGGACGCCCTTGATAACTGTATAGCTGTTTCTTTCCAGCAGGCTTCAGTATCTAAAAGAAATTGTTTAAAAGATTATTTGGGGGTAAGTAGCATAAAAATTACAACCAAGCACTCTCTTTCTAAGAAATTCGGTCATTTATGTATATACACCTGTACAGTAATTCAAAAATATTTCAGTCATTCATTCTTCACAAATGACAAAGCTGTAAAGAAACATTTCTGTTTTAGGTATAAAAGGTTTACCTGGAATGAACACATGAGAGATTCGTCTACTGACATCATTGCGGCAGCATTGTCAAACTCATCACAGTAATTTGGAGCTGAAAATATTGTCACTAGTTGTCTTTTGGCAAAGAATTCATAACCATCTTCAACAACCTAGAGAAATTGAAAGAAAAGGGTGTGTGAAAATGTGATCATCTAAGAAAAGCGGACTTGAATGAAGAAATATATAAATACAAAGGAAAAAGAAGAAAAAAAAAAGGAGAGAGAGAGGGGGGAGTAAAGTTTACTGTGGCAAGAATACGAATTGTATTGTACAACTTTACCTGGTGACCGCGACAAATGAGATCCAGATCATGGTGGTTTAAGAATTTACTGATGACGTCAGCACCAAACGTAAAGGACACCCCTCTGTCATTATCTCCCCAGCCCTTCACCATCTTGTCAGGGTCAGACCACAAAAGGTCACAAAGTAAACCTTAAATAGTAAGTACATGTACATATTAAAGCGTGGTACATAATTATATAGTATAATTATCTTTGTAAGCAGAACCTTTTAACTTTCAACAAGCTGATTTACGCATAAAGATTGGCATAAAATCGATGTTAAAATTAGTTAAATAATATAAAAACAAGTATATATACTGACAAAACGTCAGAAATACTCAAGCTGTAGAAAGTCAATTAGGAAGTGTCATTAATATCCTAAAATTTTATAAGATGAGGGCTATTGAGTTCAATCTTCTGTTGAATAAACTACATGTACATGAAACAAAATTCATATATTGATTTTAATTAGAAGAAATATAATTAATCGTACTACTTTTTAAGAAGAATTTACGTGACACAATTTCAAGAATATTTTATAGGTTGCCGTTTCTTAATTTAATGGATTTTTTTTTATATATGGATATTTAGTATACGTTTTTTGTATTTTTTTTTTTTTTTTTGCATAATGACGTACATCACATTCAATATATACACCAATCTAAATAGCTTGCTACAAGTCCGTAGAAAAGTTGAAAAGGCGGGGGGGGGGGGGGGGGGGGGGGCTCCGGGCTCCAAAAAATCTACGTGACTATGGGTTCATCCATCGCTGGGATTAAACCACGGCCAAAATGTACGATCCTCTCCTACTCTGGACCGTGGCTTGAGACGATGAGGTTCATCTAGCTGGGCGGCATACCGAATACATATTCCGTAAGAATCCAAAAGAAGTTATTATAAAATAGGTTCCGTAACCATAGCTTAAAATAATACGAGAATTTAACATTGATTTTGTGCTATTATTTTACTGTCACTCAAAGTACACATCATTTGCAGGCCTGTGAAAAGCAATTTTAGTTGGGGGGGGGGGGGGGTACAGCCATAAATTTTCTGACCATGCGTTGTAGAATTGTTAACGATGGGGTAACCTGCGTCACCTTTCAGAGTCTGCAGGGGACTCGTGCAAGGATGCTTTGTCGGCGACCGTCTAAAGTTACCTGAGATTCCTACGCGAAGGAAAGCGCGAAATTTCTGTATAGAACCTGTTGCGGCTGCGGAGCTTTACTCATTGTTCATTCGCCATAAAATAGAATCCGATATTTAACACTTAATATCTTTGAATATACAGACGTTTTCAAGTTAAGCTTCATTTTTATTTCTAGAAATATTTTTATCTATTAAAATAATATATTTTTGTGTTTTTAAACTAAGTAAATCGATGACCTAGCATCGTTTTAGATAACTCAAGCCCCTCTAGGGCTTGAG